ACAAAATCAAACGCTCAACTAACTAATGGAAAAAATGGTACAGACATTTCTTCAAATTTTCCGAACTGGTTTTATATAAAATCTAACTTAACATCCTACTTATATGACAGTTGTTTATAGTTCTGTTATGTTGGCTAAATAAAGTGATTAACTCAAACAGACATAATAGTTGTCTCTTTGACGAATTCCCCGTTTCCATTCTCAATTTTATTTTATAATTGGTTAATATGACAATAATTGGGATCCAGCAGGCAAACTGAGTAAACATACATCAAAGACATACAACACTTAAGACGGATAGAGGTATTGAAACATTGTCACGTCGGGCAGTCGGGCAGATGTTCGTTTAGCTATTCTATACACAGACAGGTCCAATCATATTCGGGACATAAAATCTAGTGCCTTGTTTTGAGTAAGTGGCATACTTTCGGCACGTCAAAAAATTATTTCAACTATTCTTAGAGAGGCTCGTATGTGGATCTGTTGCAGACAATATTTCTATCCCAATTCAACAAACGAGCTTTTTGCGGTGACAGACCATAGTGTTCGCTTTTAATTGGACGTTTAATCCAATGCCTCGGGTAGGGAGAGTGTTGATTTAAAAAAAAGAATTGCAACGACTCTTTTAGGGGTCCATAAGTGACCTGTCGCAAGGCTCAATTTCTGACCTTGTCTACATTATGCCCTTCTTTTTCAGTTGCAGTTCAAAATTCCTTTCCCGCAGTCGACCTATCTACTCTGCAGAACCTATATATCGGATTATTGTAATTCTCGTCCTTAATATGTAAAATATTCTCACTGTACGATAAGAAAACAATAATCAATCAAACCTATAAAAATCTACTTTTTGTATCTGTGACTGCTGAAATCTCTGTTGAGACGCCGGTTTCGCCATTAAATCATCCACTCTCATGTCTGCCGCTTTGCGCTGAGGCCTTGATTCAATTACATCTCTTCAACAAGGATCGTGATTTGCTACTGCTGTTGTCCTTTACCGTGAATGAACAATTTTGATTCATACACAGATGTAATTAGAGAAAGTTACTTACAGACAATTAATGTAATTATGAAATTGAATTATTTTTGACAGATATGCTACGATTCGATGGAAATCTTACTAATAATTACCGCCTGGATATGAAGTGACCGGACATTGACACTTGCTTTAGATAAATATGGTATCAATGACGAGCCTTACACGTGGGTGTTTAAATAAATCTAAGTAAGGACATACTGTATATTCGGATGATTCAAATATATCGATGCAAGACGTTTCGGCCACACTGTCAGTTCGGCCACACTGCTACTGGCCTTATTTTGGACATACTTTGTCGAATCGTTTCTGCAAAGTTTTTCTTTGTTATAAAGGGAGGGTAATTTAATTGTTTCTACTAATAGACGTGAAAAAACAAATGGGAGAAAAACATGTAAATTATATTTATTTTTTAGAATTTATACCAATTTATGTATGTTATAAGAATATTAAATTCGTAGCTTTATTTTTATCGATTAGAGATGGAGAGTTTGCTTTGGATGGGTCTTTTCATAATGAATGGCCCCGAAGGTTCTCAGTATATACTAGTGAAATTGATGTTTACAAAGGATGAAATCCCTAGTAGTGATATCGATATTAACAAGAATTTACGCACTTCGTTCTTTTACAATCGAATCCTAATTGTGGCTGAAATATTTTTCTGGACTGCAAGTTAATTATAACAATCTACAGGAAATATAATTGTGTTTGATTTATTCGCCAGCCATCAGATCTTGGGTTAATACGAATTCACAGTACTTAATTCAGGTTTAATCTACCATTTTCTACATAAGAAAATGCCTGTACCAAGTCAGGAATATGAGTTGTTTTCCATTTGTTTGATGTGGTAAAAGCCAAAGGGATATTACCAAAAATGAACTAAACAGTAAAGGTAATAATTTACAAAGAGAAATAAAAGAAACCTATTACACGTAATTAAGTTAACAACGTCAGTACCTAGAATATATACTTCAAGACCATCATGTATTATTTGTTGATACGGAATATTTATCAACAAGGTCTTGGTATCTTCTGGTGAACTTTTTTTTAGAAAAAGGACGAGACGTTCTTTGACATAACCCTGGTTCATCAACTTTCTGCTCAGACACTGGTGATGTTTTATAAAGTCTGAGTAGCAGCTGCAAGCTCTTGAATACCGAATGAGTTGGGAAATGTATATCCCATATGCAGGTGAAGTTGGTATATTGCTACTAAGGTGGGGCAATTGATAATTTCAAAATTAAAATCGTCTCGTTTGTCATAGATTCTGGTATTGAGATGACCGCTTATGTCAAATTCGAGATATAAGTATAAAACTGAGGCGGAGGAAGCCGTGTCTGTTGTTTCTTTAATTTTTAGTTCTGGAGGATATATTAATGAAACCCAATCAGAAAAGTTTGGATTGTTAATGGAAAGAACATCATCAATATATCTGAATGTGAAATTAAATGATCTGGCTTCCATGATCTTCTTGTTTTTGACAAGTGCCTGAAGGAACTCAGACTCATATGAAAATAAGTGGTCGACAAGGAGAGGCGAACAGTTCGTTCCCATAAAATGCCGACAATCTGTTGAAAAAGTCTACCTCCAAATTCAACAAATATGTTGTCAATAAGAAACTCCAGCATACCGATCACTTTTTCCTCTGTGTAGCATGTTTTACCTTTTTGTTTACTATTAACAAAATATGCCGTATGGTATCCCAAAGTAATAAATTTATAGCGTATGCTACCATTTTTATATTGAAAAGCATTGTGGATTATTTCTTTTAGACGATTTTTCAATTTCACATGGGGAATGGTGGTATACAGGGTTGAAAAATCAAAAGTTTTGATAGACCTAATTTCTGAAAAAAGATCGAGATTTAAAATTATCCAGAAGTTCTTTAGTTTTTTAGAATCCACATATGGTTAATACCATTACGCGAGTAAACAGTTTCACAGTATTTCTGAAGACCCTCTTTCACTGCTGACGGAATTTTTGTCAATCTAATGGACAATTCCTTTACAAGACACTTGTAGTAGTACGATTTACATACAAAGACAATATTAATTGAAGCTTTGTCCGCAGGAACAACAACATATTTATCGTGAAGAGATGATAGACATTTCACAGCTTCTTTGTCTCTGAAAACGGACTTTGGTCGATCATTCACACAGTTTTTCAACTTATGAATTCGACGTTTTATCAGAAACCTTATTGTTTTGACCCATTCTGACAAAGTGTCCAGTTCAACTTCTTCTCGTTTAGCCCATGCTCTGGCATAGTCCTCAATATAATCCATAATTATTTTGACGTTATGGTTCCAATTGATGTGTTGGGTTCTCTAAACTTAGGACCATGAGATATCACCTTTCGAAGATGTTTATGTTGAATTATGTTGAGATACCAAGTAATAACATGTCCAGAGGGGCTGTAAATATAAGGCGAGTGGGAACAGTCACATTTCAGATGGTTTTTTATGTATTGTTCTAAATCAAGGTCCTATTATGCTTTCTTAGTTAAATACTTTAGGTACAATGTTTTTGGTGTAACTGTAGGATACAATAGGAACAGACTGATTTTGAAAATAAAGTGGAATTTTAGATGTTACCTCCTTGGGAAGAACGTTGCTGGTGTTGATTTCATCAATTCCTTTATTAGAAAACTGAACTGGAAGGAATTTCCTCTTTTCATCATGTAAAGGTTCGGATTTTACTGGTTTAAAAAGACGGAAAAGAGCTACATCACAAATTATATTGACCAGTCTGTATATTGGAGGAAATGTGCATAGTCTGTCAAACATTTTAGAAAATTAACAGGCAGTGAAAAAAAGAATAGTTTTAATGTTATGTAACCCTAGCAGATGATGAAGATGTGAAAGAAGGTCATCAAAGCTCCCAGAGGGCGATCTAGATTTGGAAGACTTTTTCCTTGGTATTTTTGTTATCTTACTTTTTTTCAGTACTTTGATTTATAATCATTTTGTTATTTTCTTTTTTAAATGCATCTCCATTTTATATATATTTTTGTTTTGAATCTCTGGTGAGTATAGTTAACTGATAATTTGAAACATGTGAATAATGAGATAATAAGTAAATCAAGCTTCCATCCAGAAACAATTTTTCCTATTTTTTCTATTTTAAGTTACATTGACCTTTGACCTCTTAACCCAAAAATCAATAGGCTTTTTTTCCTCTATATCTTTCATCTGTTTAAGTGCCACGTGTGGAACAGGATCTGTTAACTCCGGGGCATCTAAGATCACCCCCCGTTTTTGTCGGGGTTTGTGTTGCTCAGTCCAGTTTTCTATGTTGTTTATATTTTGTACACGGTTGTTTGTCTTTTGGTCGTTTTTTCGCTATTTGCCATAGCATTGTCAGTTCGATTTTGACTTATGAGTTTGACTATCCCTTTGGGATCTTCCGCCTCTCTTTTTCATTCTAATCAAGCATGGAAACTGAATTCAATTAAAAACATTTTTTTGTAGCAACAGCGGCTATGACTTTTGACCTTAAAATCAGTAATCTTTTATTATCATCCATATATCTTCCCTTTCAGTTTTATTCCAATCAAACAAGGGATATTCAAGTTATTATCAATTTAAGTTACTATCTGGAAACCATTTGTTTCAGATACACGAACGGAAGAACAAGCAAGTCTATATATATATGTGCTAGAAGTTTTTTTCATTAAGAATAATAAGTGTCACAATAGCTGTTAGGAATCTTGTTCATAGAAAAGACAGATTACTTGTAAAACACCTACTGGAAGCTGAGATGAAACGAAATTTGACAGTTTGTTGTGTAGCTTAGGTAGCAAATACATAGAAGGGAAATTCAAATGTTCAACGGAGGCCTTAAGATGAGGCATGGTTATATAATTGTTTACTATATTACTCTGTGAGAAGGGGACAATATTGAATGTGTAAAAATTTATCATTTCATTCTTCAGAACTACTGTGTAGTATTTCCATCAAAACAACTGCCACAGTTTTGGCTGCTTTATTGACCAGTTTTAATGCAAAAAGGTTTCAAAGGACAAGAAACTTATCTATTATCCTAGAAATAGAAGAATTATCAACCCTTTCAGTCACAGGCTCTTGTTTACATGATTTGGATATAAAAAAATCATTTTTTGCACTGTTTATACAATTTTCTATTTTTATACCACACACATAATATTACTAAGCATATCTTACCTTGTTTTTGGTGAAATTATCCACTCTGATTAAATCCATTATTTTACTATCCATACTTAAAATCAACTGCTAATTCACAGCCATTTTGTTTAAAACTTGGATTTCCATCCCTGTAAGTTTTATTTAAAATGCAGGGTAGGCTACTTTTTCCAGAACATTTTCCTAAGGGAAATAATATTTTCCCCGACTTTTTGGAACTCATCCAACTTTTTACTAAGCTCTGACAATAACACATAATTTTCCTAAAAAGTTAGAGAAAAACGATCTACCCTAAATAAAACTTCTGGGCTTAGAAAAATTTTAAATGAAACGGCTGAAATAAGCTGCCTTGTTGTTTTTAAGTATGGATATTAAAATAAGGGATTTTATCAGAGTGAATATATTCATATAGAAATTTAAAATTTGAAAATTGAATATTCAGTGCAAATAATGTGCTTTTAGTAATTTCTAAATTATTTTTAAATGGGAAAAACTAATATCCATACATTCCATACATTGATCAAAATACAAATGCAGTAAACAAGAGATTTTTTAATCAGATTTCCCGCATTTACAATATGTTTTACAGTAGAATAATTCATGTTTGTATAAGGTAGAGAAACTGCATCGAACTGTTTGATTTACACAATATCACTGTTAACTGCTATCAATTTTCAAAAGCTTTTATCAAATAAATATTGAGTTTTGGAGTTAATTAATTCTGCTATGGGTAACTTTTCTGAAGACACTCCTGTTCACATGACTTTTTTTCAAATGGATAATTCAATAAGAGTTTTAACAAGTGTGATACTTAATATCAATAAACAATGTAAAAACTTAAAAAATCAAAAATAATTCAAAAACCATTACATAAAATTATTAATCAATAACTGAATTACTAAGTTGAATACCTGAGTAAGTAAAAAAACATGAACGTAGTATTTTCTAATAATATATATTAAGAAATAAAGGCACTAAAAATGATAAAATACTGACAGCATATCTAAGATGCAATATGAATAATTCTTTGCACATTTTTCAAATACATGTATCAAGATTAAAAAAATAAATATTCATTAAGACAAACTATAGACCATCTGAACTTAAACTGCAAATACACTTTAAAGAGTCTACAAAATATGCTTAAGAAAGGTCAATGATTTTTCTTCTCAAATTTTTCCTAAATATACATGAATTTTTTAAACAAAGGATCTTTAGTTTTACCAAAACTTAATGTTGATTCACTAATGCTATTGATAATATTTTTCATGCTGCAAAGAGTATCTTTGGGTTGAGATTTTCTTTCATGCATTTAACCAAAAACCATCAAAAAATTGAACATATGTGAATCCTCTTTTAAATTGTTTGATTTTGTAAATATCAAAAAGTATTGTTCTTAAAAGAGGTATATAATAAGATCTTTGAGAATTTAATTAAGAATTGAGTACATTGCTTGGTAATTCTATTAGGGTGTAAAAGCATAGAATGAAGAACTTTTGTATGAAGTGTAGAAGCCATTTATGCTTAAAAAAAAGGATGCTTGATCAACCCTTATACAACCATAAAGAATTACAAAAACAGCCATTCAATTCTTATAATTACATTTTTATATTATTATTATGAAATTAAGAGTCAAATTAAACTTTGTATTTGTTTTCCTATACATTATAAAATTGTCATGAAGATGGCATGCAGTCATTAATGTGGCATTTTATTGAGGAATAATCTAATTTAGGATGTAACATGTCTCTTAATTGGCTGAAAGTTTTTTTCTCTATCAGCTCATAGACATTATTTTGTCATGTGACTGTGACGTCATCAACATTTTTTTCATGATTAACTCCTTAAAAATGGAATTTAGAATTAAATTATAAAGACTGACTGTTACATTTTTTCTGTCTATTCAAAATAACCTAAAAAGTATGGTGCACACTTTTAAAAAACCTGCTACATGGGTTATTTAGTCTGCACCACATTTTTTTATGTTATTTCTTCATAGACAGTAAAAATATTACAGTCATTCCTTAACTAAATTTTAATACTGTCAATTCAGAAATTATTGCATGTATTTATCATTGCGACTTTTGAAGAATTAACAAAAATGTGAGTTTAATTATTGCGATTTTTTGAAAAGGTACATACAGATATATGTATTTGATATTAGAATGTGAGTTCTTATTAGTGTGATACTCAAGTAATCACATTATTCACATTTATATAAATTTCCTGTTACAAAACTTTGAATTTTTCGAAAAACTAAGGATTTTCTTATCCCAGGAATAGATTACCTTAGCTGTATTTGGCACAACTTTTTGGAATTTTGGGTCCTCAATGCTCTTCAACTTTGTACTTGTTTGGCTTTATAACTATTTTGATCTGAGCGTCACTGATGAGTCTTATTTAGACGAAACGCGCGTCTGGCGTACTAAATTTTAATCCTGGTACTTTTGATAACTAATTATATAAACCTTGCATATAATTTCTGAATTTACAGTATTGGACTGCCTCATGAAGGTTGTCTGCCAATCAAACGAATGGAATCTTATGAAACATCTATGCAGTGTAAGTATATAGTTTAATCTTAAAAAGTATAAGGTGATGGTAAATAATAATGAAATCTTCTTGCTTGTTTATTGTAAAGTGAGATCACTCGGTAAAAAAATGTATGAAAAGAGCAAAAAATGTAACTGAAAACAGTGTTATATATTGTTGCACATGGTCCTCACTGAGGTAAGTCCATGAGTCCTGGAATCATGAAAATCTGTCTGGACTCATCATTTTTAAAACTGGTATGTCCAAAGATCCATCAAGATCGTAAAAAGTTGTATCAATGGAGCCTAGGTATCATCCTTTTATAGCTAAAGCACTCATATATCATAAAAGGTTTCTGAACACAAAATTGGACAAATATGCTTGTGTGAAATGTACGCCATATTGATGAGTTAAAGAGGATTTCATTATTGATTTGCAAAATGTCATATTGATATATCTTAGACAAACTGTGTTCTTGAGATATCAACAAACTTTAAACCAAATAACTTTTGGCAAGCCATTAATTTCTGTGGCTTTACCAAAGTAAAAAGATAATATAAATATAAATATTCTGAAATATGTAAAACTTGGATTTTCTCTGATATACATGCATAAACAAAGTCAGAAAATCATGGAAATAAATTGCTGTGAAGTAGACTAGAGATCACTAGTGAAGTAGACTAGAGATCACTAGAAAGGGTTAAACATGAAAACTAATCTCCTGTTAAAATAAGTTAGTTTATAGTATATAAATTTACTGGTTATTCAATTCCATATATGTTGAAGCATAAAATTGATATAAATTAATACTGATACAAGTTTTGATGTTCAGTGTTGAATTTATATAAAAGAATTGCAAAGGTGAAAATCATTAATATTTCAGGTGAATGAACTTATCTTACTCTCAGGTCACACTAAAGGAACATAATTTGTCAAAATTGGCAGCTGGTACATCAAAATTGATTCCATTATTTGTTACACTCAACTTAACTAAAATAAGCAGGAAAATACAAATAATACATACTAGCCAAATTAAACAAACAAAACACATTTATTGCATATCGTAAATGAAATGGTAGTCTTATTATATGCCTTGAGAAACAAAGAAATTATTTAATCATTAAAAGGCACATAATTCAATAAATCACCGGAGATTTTCTAATATGTCAGTGAAATTCACTTAGTCATTACAAATATAAATGGGAGGTAAAAAAATATACATGAATAGGGGGATGGAAAATAAGAATTACAATCAATTTTTCACCAACAGATAAAAAGAACTTCTGACTTATCTCTACCATATACATTTAACTATTCAAATGAAAATTAATTTTGATTGTGTTATGCAATTTTAAATACTGTAAAACAGGAAATTTTCTTCAGGGTTTTATTTTTTTGTTGCTGCAGATTTATATATAAAATCAGGAAAATATCAACCGGATAAATTTGATTGTTAAGGCAGACTAGATTCAAAGTTGAGGAAACAACAAAAATAAAACATCAGTAACTGGTTTGGCCTTAGAAATAGAGAATTTTTAACGTCCTGAAAATACACCATTTTACAGTACAATTCTTTAAGGCACAATAATTTGAGCTGCTTGTGTCAATAACATTTCTAAAACAAACTTAACAATTATTAACAATATTGATCCTAAATATGGAATCGACATATTAATTTTTAAACATGGACTTACAACACTATTGCTTTTTTTCCTCTTCATTTGATAATTAGTAATATGCCTTTCCTTGGTCTTTTTGTGTATTGAATAAAGGCCATCCAGAGTTTCTCTTGATGTTCATATTCATTACTCCTGGTGGAGGGCCCCTGAAAAATAAAAACTCAAAGTATAGAATTGTTTTTTGGTCAATCTTCTGTATCCATACATTATAAACTATTTACTATTCTTTGTTTTCCACTGTTTCCTTCTTTGTTTTTTTAACTCATAGGTGTTCTATTGGTCATTGCTGAAATGCAAAGTTTTTTTACATAATGTTTTTATTTTTCTAAGTACAATGTTGTTAAGCAGACTTTACTATTCATGTGCTGGATTAAGCTGTACATTAAAAGATAGCAAACATTTCACAGTGATGACCAAATTCAAGAACAACAGATGTTACGTTTCCCCCTGAAGACCACAAAACGAAGCCAGAGTACAAAACTTGCTCTTCAGGTAAAAAGTTGTTGTCCAAGAGTACAGTCTATAACTGTTTTGCTATACCTTGACTTAAGAAAGACACAGTACTTTGGGTCCAACATTGTTATCCAATCTCATATAAGTATTCATTATTTTAATAGCCTAGCAAATGCATGTAAGTGTTCAACAAGAGGGACCATCAAGCAATATCTTGTAAAAGTGTGAACTCTTTAGTTTGTTACAGAAGATCTTCGAGTAGTTGCCAAGAAAAGCAATAACTTTAACTATTTTTAAATATCCACCTGTATCCTTCTTTTCTAGTTTGGTACATCATTCCTCTTAAATCTCATTTATTTTAGAAGATCAAAGAATTTTGCTTAATAACACTACTACAAACTGTTTCAATCCTCTTTTCAAAACAGTTGATGTGCACTGGTACTGATAATAACCTTGGATATAAATTTGATAAAAAACTGTACACATGGGAGCACTAAAAAAGGTAATTTCCCATATAATTTAAATTTCCGAGAGGCATAACTCTTAAAAAATAGTTGATCGTCACTAATTTTCAAACTTGTGCGAGACATTACTGATATAAAACTTTGAAATACATTTCACAAATATCTTGCAAGAATTGTACAGGTGAGAGCGCTTACAATGCAATACCCATTTAACTTATGTTTCCAAGAGGCATGACTCTTTAAAAAATAGTTGATTCTCACTGATTTTCAAACCTGTCAGAGACATTGCTGATATAAGCCTTTGATATAAATAATTCAGAGTTCCAATGTTTATCCGCGTTGCACATATTTTATATTTCCAAAGGGCATTACTCTTAAAAAAAAAGTCGATCGTCCACCATCATAAAACTTGTCTGAGATATTGCTGATATTAACCTATAGTATAAGTTTTATAAAAATCTGGCAAGAATTGTACCCGTGAGAGCAAAAACGAGGCCATTTTCCATAAATTTAATACTTCCAAGTGGCATAACTCTTTTAAAAAAGTTGATCGGCCACCTTTATAGAACTTGTCCGAGATGTTGCTGATATATAGTATAAGTTTTATAAAAATCTGGCAAGAATTGTACCAGTGAGAGCACTAACAAGGCCATTTGCCATAAATTTAATATTTCCAAGGGGCATAACTCTTTTAAAAAAAGTCGATCCGCCACCATTATAGAACTTGTCCAAGATATTGTTAATATTAACCAATAGTATAAGTTTTATAAAAATCTGGCAAGAATTGTACCTGTGAGAGCGCTAATAAGACCGGACAGACGGACAGACGCCCAGTATTTCTATGTCCCCCGCAACGCATTATGCGGTGGACAAAAATATCTAGCAAGAACTGTACAGGTGAGAGCACTAACAAGATATGACGGACTGACACCCAGTATTTCTATGTCCCCACAACACATTGCAGGAGGACAATAAAAGCAAGACTTAGATTTAAAACATTACATCTAAAAACCAAATACTGCCCAGTTTAGAGTCTATCAATAGCTACTGTGACCTTGAACTTTAACCTAATTACCTCAAAATTCCATTGGGCATTATCAAACAAAATTATGTAAACATAGTGTTTATAGCTCTAAAGATTTTATTCAGAAACTGAAATTTTGACATCAGGACAACATAACTACCTTCATCATAGTATAAAACAAGTTAAGACTTTGATGCGATTGACAACTAATAACCACTGACAAGGTATTTTAATTGGAAATATGTAGTGGGGTTCAACTAGATTTTTTTTTCAGATCTGAATTCTCCTTTTTAATCTTGATCAGTGGAATATTTTTTATGAAACATGGAAAGTTGTTGATCAAAAGTAATCAAATGCTTGATGCACAAAATTTAATGTTTGATTAAGTTCCATGTCAGAACTTTTTATTTCAAGAGTTATGTCCCTTTTAGTTGTTATGCTTGTTTATATATGGTTGATCAACTGTGGGTGTTTAACACCACTTTCAGCAGTCTTGGCTATATCATGATTGACAATTTTAATTTTTGTTGTTGAATGAAACCTGAGAGAACAACCAATCGATCCATTGTAGTTTTCAAGATAATAGGCAAAACACAAAACACACTATAAGGAGTAGACTGAAGATTTAAGCCAAGTTGGCTGATTTGTAGATCTTGTCACTCTGATCCTTTTTTGCAGTTTGAACTTCTATATATCTGTTATAATTTCAAAAAATATACATAAATGCAAAAAAATTGTAAAAATTCTCATTAAAGGGCAATTACTCTCATAAGGAGTCAACTGATGATTTCCGCCATGATGACTTTTTTGTAGATCTTGTCTAGCTGATTATTTTCAAGTTTCTGTCTATCTATTATAGTTTTCAAGATGATAAGCAAAAATGAATAACAAGCTTGCTTACACTGAAATGTCTTGCCTGCTTTTCTTGTGATTGAATTTATGTTGAAATTCTATAATATAAAGGTTTTACTAGAAGTATCACATAAAGTTTACATTATCAACGATCCATGAAAATGAGGTCAAGGTCATATGAAACCTGCCAGACAGACATGTTCACCTTACAATCATTCCATACACAAAATATAGTGGCCCTTTTGCTTATAGTATCTGAAAAATAGACCAAACCACAAAACTATACATTGTCCAATGAACCATGAAAATGAGGTCAAGGTCAGATGAAACCTGCCAGTCAGACATGTTCACCTTACAAGCATTCCCTACACCAAATACATGTATAGATGACCTATTGCTTATAGTATCTGAAATATAGACTTGACCATGAAAACTTAGCCTTGATCACTGATCCATTAAATGAAGTTGAGGTCAGGTTAACCCCGTCTTACAGACATGTAAACCTTGCAAAGAACCCATGTACTAAAAGTAGTTATCCTATTACTTACAATAAGTGAGTACTTCACATGAAAAAAACACAAATATTTTCTTCAAGCAGTAACTGAACCATAAATGAGGTCAAGGACAATGGACATATGACAGACAGAAACTTCGGTTTCACTGCATTCACTGCCGCCACAGGTTTGTAATCCCTATGTCACTTCGGTTACAGACGAGACAAAAAATGGTAAAATTTGTCATTTAAGGTCAATAACTCCTTTCAGAAGTTGTTTGTCATTTTAGATGTGATGGACAGTAGATAGATCTCAACATTCTGAACATTTTTCACCTAGACAGATTTTCTCTTTCTGTAGCATTTTTCAAAGATAATAGACAAAACTTTCCGTTTTCCCCTTAGGTTTAATTTTTAGCAATATCTGCCGTGTCAGTTGGAAGGTAGGGTCATCAGACACTTTCAAACTTAGATACCCCAATGATAGTTGTGGCCAAGTTTGATTAAATTTGACCCTGTAGTTTCAGATTAGATTTTACAAAAGTAAACATGACGATAATAGAAGAAGACAACAGACAATGGCAGCCAAATGATGAGAAAAGCTCAAACTGGCACTTCGGGGCAGCTGAGCTAAAAAAAGGGCTTTTACATCAATGATTGCTGCTTATTTTAGAGAAAACTTTAACTATTGTACAAGAAAGTGTGTTCCACAATTGTCACCTCATATTTGAGGGAAAATTAATTTTCAACCTTAGAAAAGTTAAACGACATCTCCAGCTTACTTCAAAATAGAAAGAAAATAACTCAAAATTCTGACAAATAAATTTGTATTTTGTCATTTGTTTATATAAAACACCAACAGATTTCTTTTGTATCTGTTTCAACTAGTAATAATTAATAATAACAAGCATTCTGAGAGTATTGCATGGCAATACATAGTCCCCTACCGGTTACAAATTCATTGTATTGGAACAAAATGCTAACTTGATCTATAACTTGTCATGGTGTAAACTATATAACAAATATCAAGTCAATATCTTCAAGCCTGACGAAAAAAAGTGTTAAAAACTGATTATTTAAGTGAATTTTCTAAGTCTAAGGACCATAACTCTGCACAAAATCATTAGACCGGAACAAAATTCTAACTTGATCTGTAACTTGTCATGATAAAACAATACACCAAATACAAATCAATATCTTCAAGCACGAAGAAAAAAAGTGTGGAAAACTGATTTGTCGGACTGACTGATGGACAGACAGACAGACAGACAGACGGACGGAGTGCAAACCTAAAGTCCCCTTCGACTTTGTCAGTAGGGGACTAATTAAATTGCAGATTTAAAATACTTTGGTATGATTGAATTAATATGACGGTATCATAAACAAGAGCAGAAAGAACAGGATTCTGAACGGTCATTAGCGTGTTATAATTATCTCCCCTGAAACTGTATCCACTCTCCTTACTGTCCATGACTGTCATAATAGCATATGGATTTTGATATCAATTTGTATTAACTACTGATTCCATATTTTTGTTACATAAAAATGTAGGCTTTTAAACAATAGTGAACAGAACCTTAGACCTTGATTTAAAATTTGTTTGCTTGTATAAATCCAAGGACTTCAAAAGACAATTAATATTTTTTAATACCCATACCTTAAAAAACCAAGGATACTCCCTTGGTCTTAAAGGGCACCTGTCAAATGCAAAAACTTAAAATCTGTATAAACCAAATATCAAAGATGAAATAAAAGTGAAATTCAATAATGTAAGAGAAAAACACACATTTTCAAATGCCTTTAATTCTAAATGTGATAGCATTACAAAAATGTAAAAATTATCTTACAATTTCTCTGTGTGATCATTTTCACAACTATACACATTAAAAAATATACAGTGTTTACTTATCTCTCATGCTCATTATCTTTAAATCAACAAAAAATCTGGCTTTAATGTTAAAAAAGCTACTATACTACCATTTCTACTAAATTTGATATATTACAAGTAAATTTTAATTCTTAACATTGTAATTATCATTAAAATATACTTTTCCTTTGCTTATTGTGTGTTGTTTTTTGCTGTGCATGTACTGATTTTGTGTCATGGATGGATACCCCATATCCTTGGTTTTTCTATTGTTAAAACATTAGTTGGCACACTATCCACAAATAATCAAATATTCACAAAATTACGAGTAAAGTGTCTTTTCTTTGTTCAGAAAACTGTTGGTTAAAGCTTATACAGAATAATGGAATGTGGTAAAAAAGCAATATTTTTTTTCAGGACTTTCAGATAAAAAACAGAACCTATATGAAAATTTATTATTTAAATAAAAAAAATCCTAGTTTTAATAAGTTCTACTAGTGATCTTATTCTCTGGCTTAACATCAAATATCAACAATGTTTGTCATTTCATTGGTCTTTCATACTGTATTTTGGAATTAGTACCAATTTGATAATAAAAACTTTGACACATGATTAAAACTTTTTTTTTCTTTTTATACATGTTGTTTACTAAGAGTTCACTACTAATCTTTCTTAATTTTCTGCCATATACTTTGAAAGAATATATTAATAGACACAAAACTAATATATTTGGTGGAAAGTTTATTGTAAGGAAATCCTCAGGAAAACATTAAGGTGTTAATTCAAAATAAGGGTCATTTTATAAACTCAATAAACATCTTTTTTATTTGACCTTATTCAAATATCACTAATCTATCAGTTCTCATTTTTTAAACATGATTTGCATATATATATATTGAAATATTTATTTATCAAAATGAAATACTGCTGCAAATCAACAAAAAAATCAGTGTTACACTTTCTCCTTCTTCAAATTAGCTTCCATACCACCGAAATTATTTTGTGCATTCAAAAATGTAAATAAATCTCTTACATCAAAAATTTCACTTCCCTGTCCAAGTTAGGAGGCATTTTCAATTTGACTGACTATATAAACAAGTTGCACCAAAATTCACCATTAATAATTCTAAACAAATGAAAATTAGCTACATTTCACCTAATCTACCAATGAGATTCCAAGTGAATTATATACACATATACTCATATCTACAGAACAAAATCTCATACAGACATTTTCTGACTTAAAATTTGCACCATTCAAAATGATAACTGTTCAAATATGTGTCAAGCAAATAAATATACATTAGAATGTTACAGTGAAGTTAATAGAATGAATTATAGAAGAGCATGTACTTTTGTGCATATGATATATGTTTACACTTCATTACAGTGGAACCAGTCTAACTGAACTCCTTGAGGACTGAAGATTTTGATTATATTTGACAAATTTAAGTTCACACAGGTTGAATTACAAAAGAATATTCACTGTGAGTCCTAAAAGAAGAGATCAGTGTAGGCTGGTTTTAGGTTTGTGCAGGTTTGATGTATGCAAGTTTTACTGTAATATTGAAAATTTTAAAAGATGAAATGTAATACTGAAAATTGCCTAAAGGGTTTCTTGGATAACTTATTTTTCAATTCTCCCTTCTTTAAGTTCAAAACTTGCCATCTACAAAAAATGACTTGAGGAAATTTCTAAATGATATGTGTATCGAGTGACCTTAATGCAGCATATTTATCAAATTTTAATTTTTCAAAACAATCAATATTCAACATGAATAACATGAAATGAAATGAAGAGTGTAATTAAATGGGAAAGCAACCATAGGAACAAAAAAATGAATTAGAATTTCATAAATTCAAACATTTCGTTTTTATTAACCTGGGCGTCTTTCGTAATTCATTTTTTTCAACATTTGCTATTAATAACTATGATCAATGCACATCATTTAAATGCAATGTAAACAATGATTTCCATAATAAAAATTCATAACATATCTTTAGGGAAATACCCTGATGAGCACACACACAGACCTTTGTACCTAATAGACAATTATGTTTTAAAATTTTCAAAACATATTTCCAAAATACAATTTCTAAATTAATGCCAAACAACTTGAGGTGCCTGGGAAACTCTTGAAACCTGGAAGTACCTGACACCACTGTTAGATTGCCCCTGGCCACTAGAGGCCATTGAACTCTGATTGATGTCCATCTGTTGTACTTGACTTCCATCACCTTTCAAGACAGCAATGCATTTCCAACTTCCTAGATAATTTGCTGAAAAGATATTCTAACATAAGTTTGTTGTCCTTTACTACAAACTAAAATGAAAGACATAAAGAAGACGTTCAGTCACAAATAATTTCTTGTTATAAAGCCACATATGTCAATTTCTTTTTGGAATTTTTAAACTTATTCTTCTAATTTTTGAACTTTCATGTGAAGTTTCACTTTTACAATCAGTTTTGTGTACTGCTAAATTCTTTGCTGTTTTATACTTATTTCAGTTCAGGTGAACCCTGGCTGACAGACATGTAAACCTTGCAATGATTCTTTAAACAAAATGTAGTTGTCCTATTACTCATAACTAATTAAACAAGAATGCACAAGCTGCAATGTCTCACCTGATTTACTCACCATGATAAAATTTATGTTGAAAGTGTAATATGAAGGTTTTACTACAAGTATCACATCAACTTAGCATTTTCAATGATCAATGTAAATGAGGTCAGGATACTGTCTTTTGTTTTAAAAAAAAAAGCTTCTATCCAAGTTTCATAAAATCCATAAAGGTTTGACAAAGTTATGGATGTTCAAAAAAACTTTAACCATATAGACGCCACAGAAGAAGCGGACAACAGAATGTAGGATCGCTATGTCTCGCTTTCACAACAAAATGTTGCAGGCTCAAAAAATTAAAAAATCATAATACATCAATTGATTTTTCTTGCGTAAATCTTTCAGATGTCTTTTTTTTCAATGAATCCACACATGATGAAATATGATAACCAGTGACAAAATTGAATACCTTTCCACAACCTTACACAGCCATCATCTCCTGATGAACACAATATGGTACCAGTAACATTCCAACTAAGTCTCCATACCTGTATAATGTAACAAAAAAGTAAAATTATTCCTAATAACTTATTCTATGTCCTGCAAATAAGTAAAATATTCTAAAAATGTTTTCACAATTTCACAAGTGCATTTTATACAACAGTCTGAAATTTTGTTGTTGTGATATTGTTCATTTTTCAGTGTCATTTTTTAAGTTCCATTGTGAACCAGATGGGAGAACAAACCCAATTTCAACCATCCCACAATATAGTTTTGTTTAATCAATATCTGTAAGAGTCTTGGTATGTGATTTCATACAACTGTCTGATATTTAGTTGTTGAGATATTGGTCATTGTTCAAAGTGTAACATTCATGTTTCAATTTTTTAATTCGACTGTGAATCAAAGGAACGAAAAAAAATCCATTTCAACTAGTCCACATGTAGTTAAGTATATTAAAATCTGTTTAGTATTAGTTTGTTTTGCAAGATACTTGCATTTCTAAATTGTAGTAGTTTTTTTTTAACTAAAATTAATATTATTTTAAAGTGAACAACATTTACCTCGGTTGAAAAAATTCAAGTGAATGTGTTCATTGATTTAGAAATTAATACAAATTAGTGCTTCATCAGACCTCTCAAGCAAAACATTGATTTTTTTTACTTTCAATATCTGAAATAAAGGTTGTAATTTACAGTCGATGCAATCATATATTTTGCCAAAGAATTATACCTTTTACACAATTACCGGACAAATATAAAATCATGTTTTAGTCAAGAGATCAATCTTATTTATGTGTGTGTAAGCATAAGACATAAATTCTATGTATGTGTGTGTAAGCATAAGAGATAAATTCTATGTATGTGTGTTGTAAGCATGAAAGATAAATTTTATGTATGTGTGTGTAAGCATAAGAGATAAATTTTATGTACATGTGTGTGAGCATCAATTATCATGAGTGGCAATCCAGTGGTAAATTAGGTTTTCAATAGTAAATTATATAGGTAGCTATAAAACCAGGTTTAATCCCACATATTCTACATAAGGAAATACCTGTACCAAGTCAGGAATATGACAGTTGTTTTCCATTCATTTGATGTGTTTGAGCTTTTGATTTTGCCATTTTATAAAGGAATTATCGCTTTGAATTTCCCTTGAAGTTCGGTATTTTTGTAATTTAACTTTTTCCTTAAAACATATAGGTTTATAACTACAAATATGCAATGCATGATGTACACACTCAAATAGTTTAGGTGTAACAGTGAAGTTACTTCAATAGACCATTACTAAGGAGTCAAGCTACCAAAAAGTGATATTCAAAAGACAGTGCAACAGCACACCAAATATCAACAGACTATCAATACACTTGGATGGAAATTATCACAATATGTGTTGATGCAGAGCCACAGATGTAGCATGGATGCAATATTTAACCAAATACCTGTGCTCTTTAATAAATTCTTTATTTGAAATTTTTACAGAAAAGTGACATCTATGTCTTATGTCCTGAGTACCCAAACTAACTAAGCTGATCACATTTGATTACCTGTGACTCATGTTCTGAAAAATCTGCTACTTGTTGCATTTTAAATTTACTTCCTTGTGTGGTCAATGCAGCATCTCTCCTAAAATAAAAATATAAACAATTTTTTAAGTCCAAAAAATCAATATCTTACCCTAACAAGATATCTTAGCTTTTAAAAAGTTCATGGCAACCAAAAATCACAGTTGCAAAAAAATAAAATTCAGTAAAGTACAATATGCTTCAATACAGGCTACATACCAGATTACAGTTGATACTTTTGTAAAGCTTTCATTTTTTTTTATTGTCCACTTAAAATTTATATTCTTGTTTTGAGGCACTGAGGCATTGCTTTGTGTGTTTAGAACTTCAAAATTCAAAATTGCATGCCAGATACAGCTGAAATTATGTATTCAAATTTGGAGATACAAGAATTAGTTTGATTGAAATTAAAATTAAATCTTAAAATTTCAGTCATGTGGTGAGCTATCCAAAAATTCTCCATATATTTTGTTGACAACTTTTTGCTGATTATTTGTGATTTATTTGAGCATCAATTTGTCACAAAAATCCAGCTAACTCTTAACCAGCTATTTTTTTAAACTTTTACATTAAACATTACAAAAAGGTAGATAAATTCTATCAACTGCTTTAATATATGGTTAATCTGAATAATTATGTTTTAATGGCCTATAATGCCCATTATAGGTACACAGAAGTAGATTAATTCTGGTAGTTCTTGTAATATATGGTTCATCTTAGAAATAATGTACTGGTGTCCTATCATGAAAACCCTACTGCTTACCCTAGTGGTGTGAGACTTATAATTTTCAAATCTTTTGATGCTATTGCTAGTAAATGATGAGATCTTCCAAGGTTTGGAGCAAAAGCAACATCGTGAACTGGATCCGTAACTACGCTTAGACTTTCTACTTTGTTCCATTTTCTGAAATAACAACCAATGAGAATTAAAGAGGCATATTAATTTCAAAATGAAAAAGTGATATTTTATCATAATTTTAACTGCACAATTATAACTACACATTCTAAAACAGAACAATTGAAATTCCACAAAAACATTCTGTTCAGTGATCACAGGCATATCACACTTTCCTAGAGTTTTTTCAGAAGCATTTATTTGGGCTGGAAATAAAATCTGGTATGAATTATTTCACTTCAGGGATATAGAACTGGCTCATAGTTATGGAAAGCAATCAACAGCAAGAAATATGACTGAAAATGTTTTAATTCATGTAATTCAATACATAAATGTTTTTTTTTTGCCTGTAAGAGTAGAGAGACCTTATATAGACAAAAAAAAGAAGGCACAGTATTTGATTAGTTCTAATTTGGTCTTAATTTTTACAAAGTTTAAAAATATATCATGCTGCTAAATAAAATTGGTATAAACATTACGAAATGACATTCCTATATAGGTATTTAGACACACACTTACGAAATCTCTTTTTATCGTTAAAATCTAATGATTGTACAATTTTAGCGTGCTATAAACAGTTTCGTATAAAGAACTAGGGGTTATTCCCTGACTAAAAATAGCCATGGAGGGAAATCCCTTTTTTTCACATAATTGGTGAAAAAGTATCGTGTTTTTTTGTATTTAATGGTAAAAATAAGTTAGTTAGCTTTCAATTAAAACAGGTTAAATGATTAAAATAATTTTAAAAATTAGATTAGATATACATGTTTTAAGGGGAGACAACACTGTAAACGTCCTGTTTTTCTTTGGTAGTAAAAATTGAAAATGTATTTGTAGCTACTGTAGCTCTTTCCGAAGCAGGCGAACGTACCCTGAAGCGAGAATTTTTGCTAAGACCAGGTAAAAATCTATGAAATTCATACAGTTTTGATTATCTGAAACGTGCCTGTATCATGCCAACATCAATATGCACATGACCTGATTTCAGGTTTTTCATGTTGAGATTGGGCTTTTTTTTCTCATTTTCTCTGGATAGAACTTCTTTAATATGTTAAAAGTACGCTTTATTTTAATTTTATCATAAACTAGAGAAAATTCTGATTTTAGTGATATCTAGTTTTATACAAGTATCGTTGTTAACAATACCACCACTAAGGGTCACTTATGCATGGTCCTTTAAAATATGATGTCATAGAAAAAACTGTTGATTGCACCCTTAGTGGTCTCTAGCAGGATATATGGTATGCACCTTGTCAATCATGGAAGAGGGCATACTAATTCTATATATCTGTGGTTTTAGTAGAGTTTTTTGGTTGTTATCTTACGGTCTTATTGACATTAACCCCTTAACCTATTTTATTCATGATCTTGAAATTTAAGGCATATATTTATTATTTCTTATCTTCAACAACCTACAATAATGTAAAATTGATGAATCAGATTCCTGTATATATGTAGTAGAACATTACTCTTAAAACTTAAAATTTGCAATTTTAAAAGCATTGTATTAATTTCAGAATTTACACTTTTTACCTATTAGCACTATTGAATTCATATATCTGACATTTCCCTCCTGCTGATGGACTTGGATCATCACTTCCTACAGCTATCATTGGAGCATGCATTCTGATAAAAAAAGTAATACATTTTATACTCATTGCATTGGATAAAAATAAAGATTTTGTATCAATGAAACATAAAAAAATTCAGATAATATTATGGATTATCTCTCTTATATACTGTTATTCATTAATCTATATTCCAATGGAAGGTAATTAGCTCTACATTTTGCTACTGTTTTAGATATTTTAGCACTTAAACCATTGTTTGAGGTCCAAGATGCCAAAATATTGCTTCCTTCAGTATCACAATTTGATGCTACGTTAACATGTGTTTTTGTTGAACTAAAATTGTACAGTGAACATGGTGAAGTTTTATGTTATTAAATCTTGTTAAAAATGGTTTAAAAATAAGAAGATGTGGTATGATTGCCAATGAGACACCTTTCCATCAGAGACTAAATGACGTAAAAGTTGAGCAAAACCCACACCGCATATCAAGCTATAAAAGCCCAAGAATTGGCTAGAATTTTCAAAATCAAAAATGTCATAATTATTTTTTGGCTGGCATGGAATTTTTTTTTTTATAATTTCATAACTTTTAAGGAAGGAGCCTTTAGATTTCATTTGTTATGTCATGTTCTGTTTAAAACATACCCAACACATGTCAGGAAAGGAGAAATATCATTTGTTTAAATGTATAACTATAAAGAAGAAATATCACACAATATGTCATGAACAATTCTCATTGGTTTTTAAGATTATTGATGTTTTATTGTCACAAACAAAATTCTTCTTTGTACAGATACACTCTATTGATCATTTAAAGTTATCAAACTAGCATGATAAGAATAAATTTTCGAGAAAAAACAACAACACTCAATTTGATATGGAGTTGAATCATTTTCCATCCAACTCAGTCCCTTAGCATACTTGCATAATGTGGTCTGTTACCTTGAAGGATTCCATGATATACAGCTACAGCTGATTTTACACATAATTTCATGTTGCAAGGACCACTGGCTTAAGTTCATTACATCTGGTGCTTCATATATTCTCACAATGCCATCTGCTGAACATGTGGCCTGGAAAGAAGAAAAAATGAAAATTGTCACTATTTCTATGCTTAAGGTAGATGGGGTGTCTAAATTATAATCCATAGAATTTTTTAATAATTTGCCAAAATGTTGTTTATTTCATGCTTTTTTTAAAAAAATAATAAAAAGAATGGGTCACGGGGCTTATTTTCACACTACTGGTTGTGCAAAATTGACAGATTTTTGTATAGATTATGCATGCAAAACCCAATTTTCTGCCATAAAACAAAAACTACACCATAGAATTTTGAGATAAAATATGAGAAGATAGCTCTAATATTATGCTTTCAGATAAGAAAAAGAAAAAATGGGGTCACGGGACCCGTTTTCTTGCTACATAATAAAATAGGTAAATTCCTAACACATTCTATTGTAAAAGTAACTTTATCTGAATTATCTGCCCTTACATTTGAGTTGCCTCCCCTTATGTGACAAAGTTGGGAAAAATTGAATCAAACAAAAGTATTCTGTTTTTTGTAAAAATACAACTATAAATATGATAAAACATGTCTTTTTCTATATTAAAATGAAAATTCTTACACATGAATTACCGACTACTCTCAAAATTTGCACATTTTATTAAAGATCTAGACCGATTGTTTTCTGGTATTTCAAAATCCAAGATGGAGGAAGACACCCTATCTACCTTAAATTAATTTAGCTTGGTGTTTGTTTTTTTTTTTATTTCATGGTTCTTGTTGCTGGTGTGTATTGTTACTAAGTTATTTAAATTTTTTAACCACTTTTGAAGAAAAAAAATTAAGATATACTATTAGACTGATTGACACAGAAAAAAGAACACAGGATTTATGCAAGATGATTCAAGTTTTTGAGAGATACCACAGAACTGACAGTATTCATGGTATTTGAAGCCTTTGCTTTCCCTTACTATTATTTGTAAAAATTTGAATATAGGACTTTAATTTCTTTTTCAAACTGATCTTCCAATTGTAACTCAACATTTAACACATTTATAATAGCTTACGAAAAAATAAATACCTTTTACTTTACTTTATTTTCTCTTTGAAAACTTACTAGCAATAGTCCTAAATGTTTTGGAGCAAACTTGACATCCATTATTGATGTACGGCTATCAACATGACTAGTTTTTCTAATCCAGTTGCTTTGTACTCCGTCTCTGCCAGTGTCCCCTACACATTCTTCCCATACAGAAACAGTCCTGTCAAAGGAGCATGTTGCAATAACTTGTCCAAATTCTGGATGAGCCCATGTTACCCTCCATACAGACCCACTGTGTGACTGAAAAAAAATATAAAGCTATGCTATCTACTTTTACCCTTTCACAAATTTAAAAAAAAATGTACAATAAGTTATAGGACAAGAAATATTTGAATCTAAGATCAACACAATGGCTTTTAGAAGGGTAATTACCTCGCAGTAATATTTCATAAAACCTGTTTGGGCAGAGCAAACCAAATCATCCAAATTACAATAATCACCTTGATATCATAGTCTACATGTTTTTTGAATGAACATTTAAAGTCACAAATTACAGTAAAAGTGGTTCGGTCTAATGATTGATTGTTGTTTGCTTAACATAGTTACATAGGTTTTAGAGTTGTTCCACAAAAAATACATGAGGTCCTTGAGGACCCCATTCCTTATTTTTTAACCATACATGTATATGTAATGCTAAAATATGTTCTAGACCCAACAATTCATAAAATGTTTATGCAAATGTCATAAAAAGACCCATAGATATCATGTTTTAGGAACAGTCCTATAGTTTCGTCCAATCAACTTTGAATATTTTCCCTTAGGATTCTGTACTTTATCCTTCAATTCTAAAACCAAATAAAGAAAATGTTCAGCAAAAATAGGACACGAGTTCTTTTTAATGCCCCGCGACAAAATGTCCGAAGCATATTAATTTACCCCTATCCGTTCGTCCGTTTGTCCGTCTGGATATAGATACATGGTATGTCCCGTTATCTACTCCTACAGTTTTTGAGCTACATCTTTAATATTTTGTAGGATTTTTCTACACATAATAGAGGTTTGCATGTCCACAGAATTTTGATTTTTTTCCAATATTCTCAAAATGCCAGGTATTTGAACTTATTCATTTTTTTGTACTCAGAATAAAAATAAAAGATAGATCATCATACATAATGTTAAATTTATAATTTCTTATGGTCAGGTGGGGGCATTATTTGTGTTTTACAGTCAGCACAACAATAGAGGGGGGGCATCGTCCATATCTAATTTTATTGTATACCTTCCAACTTGCTGTACACTTCCATTCACCATTATCTTGTAAATCCCATATCTACAAATATAAAAATAAAACATATAATAATCACTTTATAAAATATCAAATTCATAAAGTCACCTTTCCAACAGGTTGGAGACAACCCACCAAATGGTGGAACTATTCCCCAAATGAGTAACAACCCCTCATTTGAGTAATCATTTTATAGTGCTAAACAAAAAATTTCTTAACATGGTCTTTTTACTTAAAATGGCACAAATTTATAGACAAGAGTGCACACGCTGAAATGTCACGCCTGCTTTACTGATCATTAATTTTATGTTGATAGTCCTAAATATAAAGCTTTACTACAAGTATTGCATAAACTTAACATAATCAAAGAAAATGAGGTCAAGGTCAGATAAACTAAACCGGAAATACATGTACACATTACAGTCATTCCATACAACAAATCAGACCTGGGGTAATTAAAAATGTAATTGTAATTAGCTGTAATTATTTACAATTTTGAAAGTAATTCAATGTAATGTGTAATTGAGCATATTTTCAATTACAATTGTAATTGAAAGTAATTAATTACATTCACTTTACCATGTAATTAAGAATTACATTTCAATTACTTTCAATTACATTTAGATATTTGCTGGGACATTTTAAACATTTTTGGCTTTTCTGATGCAATCACACATCATGCACTTGTAAATTTTTTTTTCTACTATTAGATTGCACTTGGTACTTTTTTTTATACTTTAAAAACATTTTAATGTGTTGAAAAATATTAAACATTTCTTAATACTTCATAAATCATTAGAGCATTAATATAATCTTTAATATTTGTATTTAGTTCATTAATATTTTTTTACACATGCATACACATGCATACATAAAAATCTCAAAATTAAAAACAATACCAATTTATTGACATGTGTGGCATATAATTTGTATATATGTTCTAACAAGTGCCCTTTTTATAGATTTTTGCATGCTCTAGATGCCCTTTTTTTTAATTAAGTTACCATGCCCTTTTTGTGTGATAGGGGAAACACTATTATGATGAACCAATTAAAGAATAAGAACAATATATGAATAAAATGCTCCGCTGGGCGCAGCTTGATACGACCGCAGAGGTCGAACCCTGAACAGTTGGGGCAAGTATGGACACAACATTCAAGTTTGATACAGCACTGAATTTGGATTGTGATTAAATATTTGACACAGCATAGGTTTCTGACACAGAATAAATGTGGTCTAAGAACTTAAAAATTTTTAATTTACCTATTCAAACCATATCATTATTATTTGCTTTTATGTTTAAATCAGAAATAACCAATTTAAAATGGAAAATTCCCTCCCCCAAATTTTTTGAACCCCCTTATGATTCATCACCCCCAAACTCAATCCCAGCCTTCACTTTGTGGTATGGTACCTTGCAGTACAATTTCAGAGAGATCCATACACTTGAACACAAGTTATTGTCTGGATTCTAGAAAAATGCTTTTTTGTAGGCCCCTTTTTGGCCCCAAATTCCTAAACGTTTAAGGCAATTACCCCCAAACTCAAACCCAGCTTTCCCTTTGTGATAAGGAACCTTGTACAATGTAGTACAATTTCATAAAGATCCATTTACACACAAGTTATTGTCCTGAAACTAGAAAAATGCTTGTTTTTTGCCCCTTTTTGGCCCCTAATTCCTAAAATTTTGAGCCAATTACCCCCAAAATCAATCCCAGCCTTCCCTTTGTGGTATGGTACTTTGCAGTACAATTTCAGAGAGATCCATACACTTGAACACAAGTTATTGTCTGGAAACTAGAAAAATGCTTACTTTTGGCCCCTTATTTCTAAACGTTTTGGGCATTTACCCCCAAACTCAATTCCAGATTTCCCTTTGTGATATGGAACCTTGTAGTACATTTTCAGAAAGATCCATACACTTACACACAAGTTATTATCATGAAACTAGAAAAATGCTTGTTTTTTGCCCCTTTTTTGGCCCCTTATTCCTAAAATTTTGAGGCAATTACCCCCAAAATCAATCCCAGCATTCCCTTTGTGATATGAAACCTTGTGGTACAATGTCAGAGAGATCCATACACTAACAGACAAGTTATGTCTGGAAGTTACAAAAATGCTTATTTTTGGCCCCTAATTCCTTAACTGTTTGTACCATAACCCCCAAAATCAATCCCAACCTTCCTTTTGTGGTATTGAACCTTATGGTAAAATTTCATAGAGATCCATTCACTTAAACTAAAGTTAGAGTGCGAAAACCAATGTGTCTTCGGACGACGACGACGACGCCAACGTCATACCAATATACGACCACAAAATTTTTTTGCGGTCGTATAAAAAGTATGGCCGAATCGACTGTGGCCGAACTGGTAGTGTGGTTGTAATGACCTGTGGACGAACTGGTAGTGTGGCCGAAACGTCTCGAAAGCCTTCATTTTAAAACTCGTAAATGAGGAAAAATTGTTTGACAGAGGGAGGAACAATACCTGGACTGTTTGATCTGTTGAACATGTTGCCATTCGTCTACCATGGAAATCGTATGAAACATCATGGATTAAATCCTGATGGTCTGTTGGTATATGACGAGTGACAAACATATTTCTAATGAGATGTATTTGCTTTCATTTCATTCTCTTGCTTGGGCTGGTTCTCTCTTTTGCAACATACGGGTGTCAGAGCCAAACAGATAAAGGACAGGGAATCAGTCTCTCGCTTTGCCCGGCAAGTTAACTAGAATGTATTATCAATTTTGGTTGGATTAACCCTTATATTTCATCCAATCGTTTTGTGTTTAACAATTTTCAGAAGTTTGTTTTCGGAACGCATCATCGCTTATCTTATTCGAAGTAAAAAATCTAGAGACTTCATTTTTCCATATTCAAGTCCGGTTTTTGGCATCACAAAATAGTTTTTTTTGTTAAAAACATTTTTTCTTAATAAAAAAATTATCGTTACCTTTAATAAAACTCACACATGGAGAAAATCCATTGGAAAATAAAAAAGTTAATAAAAATTTGAATAAATCGAATCGTCTATTCGGGTCTTTTCAGGTCTTCGTTCAGGTCTTTAGTGAAACCCCGAAAATGTTCGCAGTGAATAATCTCTGTTGCAAAAATCAAAGAAAGATGCCTTGATATTGTCCAAGAGTGTGTTTTTCAGGCTTACATGCAGCTTGATTATGTTTGGTAGGAAAGCCCAACATATGTCTTGTTATAAAGGCCTTTATAACATGCATTTGTCCAAATGCAAGCTAAAAATTAATGCAAAATTATATACAAATCAAAAATTGTATAAATTTACTACTACTAGTATATGGTATTCTGGAAATTATCTGTACATGCTGTATGGATACTTTGTAGACACGAATTATGGCTTTGATAAGAAGGAGATAGAGTGCCTTCAATTTATTGAGAATTTGTTGGAGCAATTGTAATGCCATCAACACAAGGATCTCCATGACCTGTTTTATGATGTGGACCACCATCTCAAATAATCCCCATGCCAGGGCCTCCATATGATTTTGATAAAGTGCAAAAATGTGTGTCATAGATGGAAGTGTGGTCAGAATTTGTTTTTGTTTTGCTAGCACAGACATTTGTGTTTGCAATTATACTTGATTGCCTGTAATTGCACAACCCTATTGTATTGTAAGGAAAAGGGTCCTAATTACTGTTATAAAGCCCTGAAGGATATTCATTTAATGATCATTAATCATTTTTATAGGTAGACACATCTGATGAGAAAATATTGATCAAGTCCAGACAATAAATGTATTTACACTTTTGGTATTTACATAGCTGAATTTTGTCTACGAATGACCTTAGATCTGCTCTGAATAACATTCTGACGTCAAGCAACAATCACTTTTTAATTATGACATACATTTTTTTAAATTGTGATGTCAGATTTTACGGGAATTTGTGTGATTTAAAGTAATGGCGGACACATTTGCATACAAGTGCAAATACGTCTGTTAAACTGCATTAATCAATTCATTTTAAGCAATAGGCCAAATGCTAATGAAAATTTTGAGTCATTAAAATCATTTCAATGTTAAACTGTTGCGTTCCATAAATTGCTCATGAATGTTTTTAGAAAAATTTCGATAGTTTGAAAAAAACTTTCAAGTCATCTCAAAATTACCAAAATTGCATGAAAAAAAATCCAGATCCTTGCCTGTTACTGAAAAAGTGTTTGCTTGTCTGCAGGTTCCTGAGATTATTTAATCTACATGTACATACAATGTAGACATTTCCATTTTCATACAATTAATAATTTTAAAAACACGGGAAAACATCATTGAAACAGAACAGTTGCTTGGAAACATGCATAGGTTTTTTGGTACTTTCTTACTATTTCCACCTCCATCCATTCTTTTTATTTATTTGTGTTCTAGAAAAAAATAATGTGTTTTCTCTTTGCAGGTGGTGATACAATGGCAGTTACAAGGTTCCATCCTTATCATGGGCAAAATATTCGCCTTTTTCATGATAATATGGTTGCCTTACGTGAGACGAGTTTTGCCCATGCATTGACATTCAGTGAAAAGCATTTGCAGCCAGGAGAGATTTTTTTAGTTGAAATAGAAAAAAATGAAAGAGGTTGGAGTGGACACATGAGAATTGGACTTACACAATTCAATCCATGTGACAAGTTTGAGCTTCCACAGTATGCATTGCCTGACTTGCACAATATGGGAAAGTCATGGATATTTGCAGTGACAAAGTCACACAATAAAGTATACTCTGAACATGACACGGAGGAAGAAGGTGTGCCATATCAGTCAGTATTGGGCAATGATGCAGAGGTTGTGCATACACCAAGAGGGTCTTTCAGTCGTAGTCTTCTTTTACCTCTTGGGAAATTAAATCTGCAGAATCGCAATGGTGACAATATAAGTGCTTCTCAGAAAGACAATGTTCTTCCCACTGATGTTGGGAGTAGAATAGGAATTATGTATACAGTTGTTGGAAATTCTGCCGAGATGCATTTTATCATTAACGGTGAAGACCAAGGACCGTGTGTACGCAATATTCCGTATAATAATGGCGCATTGCATGCAGTGGTTGATGTTTATGGTACAACCAAGCAAGTACGAATAATTCAACTGTATGGAGGTAAAAAACTTTTTCAATATAAATTAACTCCAAGGATTGACTGGGATATAGAAGTATGGTCATCTCTTGTTCCTCTTCTGACAGGCAGTAAAACCTTTGTCAAAGTGGGGCAGTCTTCTGGCTGTGTGGGATGTATTAATTTGTAGCCACTTCTGGTCAGGATGGGGACGTTGAATTTAATGCCTCATACAGAGAGAATCTGCCTGTTAAGAACCCTTGCAACAACTCTGAGTGGTCCGTAGGTCATCTGTTGTAAGGCTCAATTTCTGTTAAACAAACAATCAATCAAATATAAATGTAATTAAAAATAAACAAACAGAAAAAAAACAACACGAAAAACAACCTGCCTGTCATTTCACATACAAATGTACAGTACATGTAATCAAACTCATCCATGAGGTCTTCAAAAAATCTACAGCTACATGATATGTAGTTCACTGCCCGGGTGATTGTATTTTTGTGTTTGGGAGGGGGAAGAAGATAAAGAAGATACTGGGGTGAGCAATCAAAAACTCCAAGAGAGATGGACAACCTACATGTAAAGGCCAACACAAAAGTACAAATATACATACAACCTTCTAAAAGAAGCTACACAGAAAACAAAAGATTGAGCAAAACAAAAATCATTGAAAACTAGAAGGTCCTGAAAGGTACCGGGTAAGCTGTTCCTGTTCCAATAAAGATGAGGCATATCCATGTCAGGAACCTTGTCAATTACATTGATTTTAACATTTTGCTCATTGTTGAAGTTGTACAGTTCAGCTGCCCTAAGCTATACATTTTTTGTAGTTGTTTACCTTCTTGTCCTTTGGTCTCTTGTGGATAGTTTTTCGTTGGCAATCATACCACATCTTCTTATTTTTATATTTATGTTTTGTAGAAATCAGGATAATAAAGAAAGCATACACATATTTTGTTTGTATTTTTCATAATTATACTAAAAAAAAAGTATTAAAAAAAAAAATTTTGAAATAAAACTTATAGTTTGCCTTTGTTGATTTCAACTGTAGATAATAATTTTCTTTTCTTTTTCAGTGTCATCATTACAGAATGCATGTCGTAATAGAATTTTACAGTTGATTGCCAAGAAAGACATTTCTAATCTTCCATTGCCTACAAAACTCAAACAGTTCCTCAATTATGAATTATAGTGCTAGAATATAACTAGTCCAATGACCATGACAATTATTCATAATTTTTCATAAATGTGTGGATATGTCCTTTTCATTTTGGTTGTTCTGACATATAAAGATTTTGTTAATTTTATTTATACATACATAAACATGTACATCTTGATTTATGCTCATGGTATTTGTAAATAAAAGAATTGACATTACACACAAGTTTAAAATCACTATTTCTTGAGTTGACTGAATAACTGTGAAACTTGTTGATAACACTTTAATATATGACCCTGTTATGTATACTCTGACATGTCTGAGAGGTAGTTCAAAATGAATTACCCAAAACATTAGCATTCACAATGAAAAATATCCCGATTGAAGGATTTTTAACTGAATTTCCTTGTCTGTACTGTACCTACATGTATGTATTATATAAAGCACCTGAACTATGATATTAAATTGTTTTGAATCACTGTGACTGACTTTTAATTTAGAGTGTCTTGGGCTACATTTTGGTTCTTGGTGCATATCTCTAAATCTTATGATTTAATATCAATATTTCATCACTACTTACCTTGTACAACACTATTCAGTGACACTATGGTCACAATGACCTACATGTATAGTTCACATTAAAGTGATTTTTTGTAAGGTTTTTCAATAAGATCCATTTCCCAAAACCTACAGTCTTAATGTTCAACAAAATTTAGGTCAGTGTGATCAAATTTTTGAAAATTGGATGTCTTTGGTTGAATTTTGTTGCTAAGTTCATTTCTCAGGAGCTTATAGTAGTGCAATGTATAGCAAATACCTATCACTACTATAGTGGTCTTGCATAGTAAAATATTGTTAACAAATTTAGGTCACTTTGACCAAACTTTTGTTTATATTATTTAAAGCAGGACATCCCAGTTTTATAGATATGTAATCTAGTTTAAAAGACAAACATATTTGATTTGCCATATTTATAAATGAATTGGCATCACTTACTCTTACCTCGATTGTTTTCATTTCCATAAAATGATCTTCCAAGTTATTTATAGAATTTCAATAATGTGAACCTCTGTTTCAGAAATTTTGAGATACAAAATGTTTTATCACTGCAGTCATTTGTTATTTTATACACTGCGATTGCATGTAATGAAAAATTGTATATACATATCTCTTGGCCAGTATATACATGAATGTTTAGTATACATGTACATGTATGTTTGAAATGGCATGTGTTGGAGTGATTTTTGCTTGTTTTTTTTCATTATTTTGTAGTATAAATGTTAAGTTGATACATCAGATATCATTAAGAGATATTATACTGGTTTTTTCCCTAATATTTTCATTCATATATATTTTTTTATATTGATGCATTGTTATTTACTAGGTGCATTTTTTAAGTGCTAACATTATATATAGACATCCTCTTTTCACAACTAAATCATTTCAATTAATATCACATTTCTGCAAATACTTATACATTTCAATTTTTTAAAAATATATGATTAACACTAAACATTAGATTTATTTTTTATTTTATTGTTTTCTGGGAAACTGTCTCTGATGTTTATCCCAAATCTTGTTTTATTTGTAAAACTAAATTTCTTTATTATATAAATACATAATAAAAACTATTAGAATTATTGTAATACATTTCAAACATATTTGCACAATTTCCCACTGCAACATTCAAATAATAAAATCAGAACTAAATTAAAGGTATACAGGATTAGAAATTTAACTGTTTTTGTCACACCTGAGACATAAAGATGCTAAAACAATGGCGTCATCATAAACTACTTGTATAAAGTATTGTTGTAAGAGCTGGATAGTCCATATCTCCATACAGATGTTGAATGATTTAAATTTCCATATAGCATATGTTTGTTGTCCTCAACCTCATTTTCATGGTCAAGAGACTGTTTAAAACTTTTTTTATCATGAGATTTTTTTTTAATTATGATAATAGTAAAAGGTCATCTATATTTGGTAATTTTAATATCATAACATTTTTTCAATCCAATTAAAATAAAATCCTTTAATTGCTCCAGTTCTGATATGTCGTGCATTAATAAAGAATATTGTTGCTTCATACATGTATGAATTATATGTTAAGCAAGAAATGAATTTAGCTATTCCGATCCAAGAATAGGGAATTTATTTTTTGTTGATTATTGGTAAAAGTTTATACTAATATACTCATGTTAGAACTTAATGCAGATAACTGTTATTGTGTATATATGTTGGTAAATTCATTATTTTTTATTCTTTTGTTGCAGAAAATATTTTTGTATAGATGTACAATGTTATATGAAGCTCAAACAGTGGGCTATAACCACTACTTCACATTAATCATTAATATCAGTAATGTAATGTAGAGATAATTTATTTCTCGGACAGCATTTTTTATAGTTTTTTTCTTTCGAAAATTCTCTTTTCATTTTCTTTTCTTCTTTCAATTTGGATAAAAAAGAATCATTACTTATATGAGTAATCACAGACATGTTAAGATAAAATGTATCCAGAGCTATATAATGTCTGATCTACTCATTCTGTAAGGTTGAACTGGTGTAAACCAGATTGATAAATTTTGATAAACCAATCATTAATAAAATTGTCTTGTGTAATTTCCCGCCATATCAGTTTCAAACATTAAACTTGGCATTTTTCATTAAATCATTTGGGAAACAGATTCTACCACTCTTGATTTTAAAATTTTGAAATGCTCTGAAAACCTCACATTAAAATCTTGAAAATTTGAACATCTTGAGGTGACAAATAACATAATTAAAGGGGGTTTTGTGGTAGAACTTATATGTCAAACATATTTTGACAGCAACCTGTATAAAACTCTTTGATCAATTAAGTCTATTTGAAAATAAATATATAGAAATACTTGAAGTATTTTTTTTTATACATTGGTACATCTTTTTTATTTGTAGTTTATTCACAGGATGAATAAGTTTTTGTGGATCCTATTTGAGTTTATGGGCTTTATAACAACATCACTGTAAAAATTTGATAGGGTGAGAAATCATGTTTGAAAAAAAGTTTCCTCAGGTACAGCTAAACTTCCCAACCATATAAATTTTTTTTTTACCTGAAATAATTTAGAAAAGGTTTTGAGTGATTTGTGGAAAATGAATCTACCTTTTATGCATATATGTTGTTACTATTTGACTCAAAAATGAACTTCAGACACAGGCATAGGATATGAGTTGAGAAATATACTCACAGTAAGCAGTGGCCAAAGGAATACCACTGTCCAAAAAAAATAATAAACGCAGTATGATACAAAAAACTTCAAAAACCAAAGTATAATCTTAATCAAATCAGAAACAATCTTTTCTTTATTTCGTGTATTTTTTCCAAGGTTACACATTTTTGATGAATTTAGAGTTGTTGTCTATTTTTCATGATTATCTCGTGAACTATAATAGATTGGTCAAAATTGTAAACAGCATAAATTATCAGCAATACAATATATGGTTGAAACTGTAAACAGCAAAAAATATCAGCAAAACAAGATATATTTTGACAGGTGAGCTCTTTGGAGTCTCTTCTTTCTTACAATAATTTTCTCATTGAAATAAGAGGAAAGCAGGTGTTCATTCATAATCATTCCCCAAAAAATCATAGGTTGACCTTACAGTGCCTTTAAACAGGGTATTCAGATGGATTTGGGGGTAGTAAGCAGTCTGTCGGTGGCTTCAAAAGTTACCAATTAATAACTTCCTATTCTTATCCAATTTTAATAAATTGTTTCTGATGAAAAAATTGAGGTCTAGCTCCATATTAACCATTTTCACTTTTGCTGTTCAGGTAGTATGGTCATCTCTTGATTATAAAATGGTGCTTTGTGTCGTTTCGTTGTGATAACCTGAGAACCTCTCAACCAATTCTTTCAAATTTTGTTTGTGATGACAAATTTGAGAAGTTCAATTTTAAAGATTTTCACTGTTTTCTATTAGGAGTTATTAATTGAGAATTCCTACTTTGTGATGCATCATTTACACGCAATAACTTGAAGAGAGCTTTTTCAACATTTCCTTTTTAATGTTCAATGTAAAAATGTAAAAATTGAGGTCAAATATTGATGATTTTTGTTTTTGACATTCAAGAGGAATGATCCTTTATTTATTGTAAAATTGTGCTTTTTGATGTTGTTTCCATGGGATAACTTGAGAAATGTTCAACCAATACCTTTCATTTTTCAGTTTGTTGTGTCTGATGATAAAATTGAATTCAATTTTGATTTTAACAATCTTGCTTTTGTTTTATAGGAGTTATGACCCTTGATTGCTTTAATGATGATTAGAAGTAAGACACAATTTTATGTCATTTTAACAGCCTGTTGTTTAGTTTTATTGTTTTGGTGATTTACTGATGTATACCCACACCTTCTTTTATTTAATAATGAGTATAAATCAGTTGATGTGTGTTTATTTGTCTGCCTGGACCAACTTCTTCTTTTTATTTGTCATGTTTGACTCATATTTTTGATACTGTAAAAGTTGGGAGTTTCCCCATTTACCCGCTTCTTTAGATAAAAAGATTTATTTTGCATTCTTATGTCATAGTGACGCTTTTAAAAAAGTGTCTCTTGTTCATAATTGACCATCAGTCAAAGAGATCTAGAGAAAGTATATCTCTCACTTTCATGTATAGCCACCCCTTTTTGTGGATTGATCCTTTATTTTCATCTGTTGCTACGCATGCTAATTTTTATACCCCACGCAATGAAGAAAATAACGTTTTTGACCTGTCCATCAGTTCTGTTCTTGTCATCACAATTCCTCTGAAACCACACAACAGAATTTCATGAAACTTTGTAGATAGTAAGGACATACTATGTAGATGTGCATTTCGACAGAGAAATTATGATTCTATTTTTATACGACCGCAAAAAAATTTTTGTGGTCGTATATTGGTATGACGTTGGCATCGTCGTCGTCGTCCGAAGACACATTATTTTTCGCACTCAAACTTTAGTTTAAGTGAATGGATCTCAGTGAAATTTTAGCATAAAGTTCAATACCACAAAAGGAAGGTGGGGATTGATTTTGGGGGTTATGGTACCAACAGTTAAGGAATTAGGAGCCAAAAAGGGGCCAAAAAAAAGCATTTTTGTAACTTCCAGACATAACTTGTGTGTAAGTGTATGGATCTCTCTGACATTGTACCACAAGGTTTCATATCACAAAGGGAATGCTGCGATTGATTTTGGGGGTAATTGCCTCCAAATTTTAGGAATTAGGGGCCAAAAAGGGGCAAAAAACAAGCATTTTTCTAGTTTCATGACAATAACTTGTGTGTAAGTGTATGGATCTCTCTGACATTGTATCACAAGGTTTCATATCACAAAGGGAATGCTGAGATTGATTTTGGGGATAATTGCCTCCAAATTTTAGGAATTATGGGCCAAAAAGGGAAAAAAACCAAGCATTTTTCTAGTTTCATGACAATAACTTGTGTGTAAGTGTATGGATCTTTATGAAATTGTACTACAAGATTCCATATCACAAAGGGAAAGCTGGGTTTGAGTTAGGGGTAATTGCCTAAACGTTTAGGAATTTGGGGCCAAAAAGGGGCCAAAAAACAAGCATTTTTCTAGTTTCCAGACAATAACTTGTGTTCAAGTGTATGGATCTCTCTGAAATTGTACTGCAAGGTACCATACCACAAAGGGAAAGCTGGGATTGAGTTTGGGGGTAATGAATCTCAAGGGGGTTCAAAAAATTTAGGGGGGGGGGATTTTTTTTCCTTTTTTTTCTTTAAAATTTTCCATTTTAAATTGATTATTTCTGATTTATATATAAAAGCAAATAATAATGATATGGTTTGAATAGGTAAATTAAAAAATTTTAAGTTCTTAGACCACTTTCATTCTGTGTCAGAAACCTATGCAGTGTCAAATATTTAATTACAATCCAAATTCAGTGCTGTATCAAGCTTGAATGTTGTGTCCATACTTGCCCCAACTGTTCAGGGTTCGACCTCTGCGGTCGTATCAAGCTGCGCCCCAGCGGAGCATTTTATTTTTCTAGGAGTAATGCCCCTTTGAACTTAGAATTTTGGTCTATACTGCTGTAACATTTTGTCATCGCAACTCCTCTGAAACTGCACAACAGAAATTCATGAAACTTTGTAGTTGATGAGGACATAATATGTACATGTGCATATCCACAAGAATTTTTTATCAGATGTCTTTTAGGAGTTGTGAGTCTTTGAAGTTAGGAACTCTGGTGAGATTTTGTTTGCCCAGTGACAATGTGGGGACATGGGGTATGTGAGCATGCTCACAAAGGTTCTTTAATTCTCGCAGTTTTGCCACACAAAACTCTATTTCCACACATTTATTTCTTGCATTTTGTGTTGCAGAATATTCCATTTCATCCTGGCATGTGCAAAATTATTCATTTTCATATCTTACCAGTATAAAAATAAGGAGATGTGGTATGAATGCCAATGAGACAACTATCCACCAAAGTCCAAATGAAGTGGATGTAAGCAATTATAGGCAACCATACGGCCTTCAACAATGAGAAAAACCCATACCGTATGGTCGGCTATAAAAGAACCCGACATGAAAAATATGAAAGAATTCAATTGAGAAAAGTAACGGCCTAATTTATAACAAAACAGTTTACGAAAAGCAAATATGACGGACATGAACCAAAGACAACCACTGAACTACAGGCTCCTGACTTCGGACAGGCACATAAAGAATGTGGCAGGGTTAAACATGTTTGTGAGCGCTCAACCCTCCCCTAACCTGGGACAGTGGTGTAACAGTACAACATAAGAACAAACCATAAAAATCAGTTGAAAAGGGCTTAACTCATCAGATCAGTACAAAGCAGAAAAACATCTAACAAAAACATAGGCCGGACGTGGCAGGGTATTTATACATCCATAACAACAAAAAAGACGCAAAAGTACAGATCTGAAAGTACTCGCAGTTACTGACATCTTGTTCAAAGCCAATAACAACCAAGAAATTTTCACAAAAAAGGGAAAGCCCATTTTGAGATATTGCCCCTGAAAAGTATATGTTTAGCAAATTTCACAGGTTTTGGCTTATATCTTTATAACTAAGGCAGTTGGAGCAAATCTAATAGTGTAAAAACATTATCAACAGGTAAGGTCTATCTCCTATGAAATTTTCAGAAAAAAAAATGGATTTATTGCCCCTGATATGTCAATATTTTGCAAATTTCTACCAGCAAGTTTTTGGTTATTTTCTTGAAAATATAAAGTGGAGTGACAAATCAAGAAAAAGCTGCTTATTTTACAACTTTAATGGACCGGCATACCTGCAGGCTAAACAATGTTTTTTTTTCGCAAAGCCAATACCTTAATCTTACTTTTTGTCAAGCCTGCGACTGCTGTTGCAGAAGGCTCGACATAGGGATAGTGATCCGGCGGCGGCGGCGTTAACTAACTTCTTTAAAGCTTAATATTTCAGAAGGTAGAATACCGGGATGATCCATACTTCGTATATAGATGCCTTATGATATGAAGTTTCTATCTGTCATATGTCCATTGTCCTTGACCTCATTTTCATGGTTCAGTGACTACTTGAAAAAAAAATTCAGATTTTTTGTAATGTTAATTTCTCTCTTATTTTGAGTAGTAGGATAACTGTATTTAGTATGAGCGTACCTTGCAAGGTCCTCATGCCTGTTAGACAGTTTTCACTTGACCTTGACCTCATTTCATGGATCAGTGAACAAGGTTAATTTTCGTGGTGAAGTCTATATCTCAGATACTACAACCAATAGGGTCTACTATATTTGGTGTATGTGATGATTGTAAGGTGTACATGTCCAACTGGCAGGTGTCATCTGAACTTGACCTCATTTTCATGGTTCAGTGGTAAAAGTTAAGTTTTTGTGTTT